ATTTATAGAAACAAGATTAAAGGGCAAGTAGTCATTATAGTTGAGGTTTCAACTGATTGGAGACAACAATTCATAGATTACCTATAGAAAGAAAAAATACCTCAAGAAAATTCATTAGCTCATCAAGTAAAGTCCAAAGCATTACTCTACACACTCATATGTGCTACATTATACAAAAGATCATTCGACCGTATGTGGCTACGTTGCTTAGATAAACATGAAACCTAGAAGATTTTCAGATAAATACATTACTGACTATGTGGTGCTCAATAATCTAACCCCGAGATGAAGTACAAGATTAAAAGAATAGAATACTATTGGGCAACAATAAACATTGACTGCATGAAAACCGTACAGCGCATCAATATCAAATAAATGATGTAGTTTTACATTAACCGTCAAATATGTTACACCCTATGATTGCCTCATGGCCCTTAAAGTATTGGGGTACAGACATCATAAGACCTATTGGCTCTTATTCATCCAAGGTACAAGTTCATGCTGACAGTGACTGATTATTTTTCAAACTGGTGTAGGTTATTCCTCTAAGAGAAATAAAAGCTCATCGTGTATTGCAATTCTTCAAGAATAATCACATCATATATCGATTTGGTGTCCCTCGACGAGTCATATCGGGTAATGATCTTACATTCAAAAGCACAAAGTTAAACAAGTTTGGAAGGCAGCACAATATTGATTAGAGATACTCAACAATATATTATTGTCGAGCAAAGAGATTAGCTGAAGCATTCAACAAGTCCTTAACATAAATCCAAAAGAAAACACTTGAGGACAATTAACTTCAATGGCATGAGCAGTTGGCGAAGGCATTATGAGATTATAGCACAATATCAAACCCCAACTTAATACACCTTGTTTGTCTTAGTCTATGGGCCAGAGGTTGTGCTCCCTCTAAAAGTGTAATTCCCCTCACTAAGGAGCAAAATGTATGATTTATGTGGGGGAATTGGTCATGATCTTAAAAAAAAACATATTAAAACCCATCGAAATATAGGTAGAAAGTTTGAACCAACACAAGAATGTTTGTTTATGATAGGGAAAGTATATTAGTGAAGTTCCTATCAATTGGTCAATTGATAGACTGTAAGGGTGAACGTCTAATGCTTCTCATTAATGGACATTACTCAAAAAAGTATTATGTATAGTGTTGTATAGAAGTGTTCTAATTAATGAAATTTGTTTTTGGGGCAAGAATGAGAGTCTACTAATCACTAAATCTCTAAACCTTTAAAGAAATATGATATATCAGCATTTTGAATTTAGGATCTGACTTGAGCGAAATTGAATATTCAAACTGCATTGAACACGCTTTCAACCCAATTGAATATAACCAAATTTTAATTTTTTTGAACTCTAGCACTCCACTTTTGATGATTAAAATTAATGCACTTTTAATTTGTTTAAACTAAAATTTTAACTAAGGATTAAATTTTAAAATTGTAATTGAGCTCTGGATTGAGGTTTAACTTTCTTGTTGTAGGAAAATGACCATCGGAAAGCATATCTTCGATTTCAAAAATAATATTAATTTAGCAGCTGAGCAAATGTACCTGACAAACAATCAAGTTATTAAGTTTGGAAAGGGATTTGAAGATTTGGATATGCTTTTCAACAACCCAGCTATAATGATGCCTGAGCCAGAAGAAGTGCTTGAAGTAAAACCACTGATTGAGTTCTCAGTAAGAGAAGCAGTGATCCTCCTATTTTGTGGTTTGTCCAGCAAAACATCAACTAAACCTCGACTCAAACCTATTATTACTGAACCTGTTTTATCTAAAACAGAAAGGAAAAATAAAAATATAAGGACAAAAAAGATGCATGCCAAAATCACCAAGGAGTCCAAACATGCAGAATTTGACCATACACTAGCTATGGAAGAGTATGTACCCATGGACCTGTCTAAAATGATGAGACATTATGTTTAAATATACTCCACCTTCTATTCTTGTTGACCCATCACCAATGGAGTGAAATCCACTCATACCCCCTAATTAAGTCTGATAATCAAATGGCAAGGTGTAGACAAATGAAGCAAAATTTTGAACACTTTGAGCGATTAAAAGGAAAACTTGTCAATATATTAAAATGACTAGAGCTCTACATTGGAAACTTTAGTAAAGTGTAATAATAAAAGATCATTAGATCTGTATATAAGTTGCAGGAGAAGGGTCGGCAAAGTTCTCTTAAAATGCGCACTTATTTAGAACCAAGGAGATAGATGAAGGGTAAAAACAAAACCACTTTATCATTTGGATGTTCCTATAACTATGAACGAAACATTAAAGGTCATCCACCTAAGAAAAATTTGGGGTGAGAAAGTGGACAACTTCTCTATGTTACTTAAATATATCATTAAAAGGCTTGTCATGGCACATCTAACCCCCTTCATATATACCCAATAGTTGCATAGTTAACATCTACAAAGAAGGCGATTGCATCCTGCCGCATATTGACCATGATAATTTTGAACAACGTTTCTGCACAATCACTTTCTTGAGTCAGCGTGACATTTTTTTGGCACAGAGAACAAGATAGCCAGGGGGAATTTATTGGGGCAAGGGCATCCTCTATTCCATTGCCTCTGGAATCTATGTTAGTTATTAATGAGAATGGATCTGATTTAGTCTAGCTTGCATATCGACAATTTGACAAAAGAGAATTTCCATCACTTTTCGGAAGAAGTGAGACTTTAAGCTTCCTTATAGCTACAATCCAGATCCAGATTGCATAACATAGTCTCAATCATAATTTGAGCTAGTTCGAAGAAGTTTGAAACCAACTCTAACTAAACAAAATTTGAATTTGGGATTAAATTATATTCAAACATATATTCTAACTAGGCTTGAATTCAAACATCTTCAACTCATTCAAGATATTTCGACTGCAAGACGCAATCCAAAAATACAATATGCTATCTATCATTAGGATTAATTTGATTCAAGATGAACTTTCAGACATATTATCCTATGAAAATAAACAACGCATATATTTCTCTAACTTATGCTATGAATCAAATAAAATTAATTTTTCCAAAAATAAAACTGAAATTTAATTCATATACTTTTTAAAATTCATTTTTAAGAAATCAAACTAAATCTTAAATATGATGTGTATGCCTCTAAAATTGAGGTGAGGCGTGCCTCACATTCTGCAAGACATATGCCTCAATATGAGTGACATGAGGTACAAGCCTCATGGTGAAAATTTCTTGAAAGGCATTAGGGGGCACTATGTGGCGCTCATCATATTGCTAAATTTTAAACAATGCGCTCACTTCTAAATTTAATGTTTAAATTGTCTTTTAACAACTTAATTCAATCTTTGTTATACTCATACTTCTACACTTGTAAGGTTATATTTGTAGTGTTTTTAAAGAGGCTCAGTGATCCATGCAAATCTCTTTCTTTTATTTTAAACATGTGTCAGCTTATTTCAATTTTATGCAATTAAGAAAATATTATAAGGATTAGATTTTTATTTTCATTTTATCTTTTCTCAATTTTAAATTTTCTTGTGAGCGTGACTTAATTTTTTAATAATAAATAGGCATTTAAGAGTATTCAACAAAGAGTTTAGAGTTTCCATGGTCATTTTGTCAAAAGGTCCGCTCCAATTTGTCCATTTATTCTATTCCAACAAACTTATTTATCCAATTTTCCTCTCTCTCTCTCTCTCTCTCTCTCTCACATCCATGCTCTCTCCCCCCTATTGAAAAGATGTGACAATCTTCCTATTCTATCTCCCTTGCTGACTCTTTCTAAAAACAACAAATTTTGCCTCTCTCCCATTTATTGTAACCTCTCCTTTATCAAAGAAAGCACCCAAACTCCATCTATAAGTCTCCCTCCCTCCCTCCCTCCCTAAAATTGTTATATACTAGCTAAGAAAAGAATTTTGATAAAAACAAAATTTCATATTCATTGTTACTGTTCACTCCTCACAATACGTCATCTAATAAATTTCTCTCTCCCGCACCCGCAAGCTCATGATCACTCACTCCTCTCCCTCTCCCTCTCCCTCTCCCTCTCCCTCTCCCCTATCTCGTTCACCTCTCCCTAAAACTGTTACATACTAGCTAAGAAAAGAATTTTGATAGAACCAAAAATTTATGTAAATTGCTATTGCTCACTTCACACAATAGTCCAATCATCGTCATAATAACAAAATAAGCCTAATACAAATTATTTGTGCTTCGGTACATGAATCTTAGTCCATCCTCTATTCTTACAACATGTTGCATCAACTATTAAGTTTGATTTCTGAACAGCTGCTAGATAAACATGTATTAACACATTCAGTTTTGAAAGATTGACCTTGTAATGCTCATTTCATTCATGCTCAATATCTGTACATTTTCCCCTATAAACTGGCGAAGTAAAATGTAAAGTAAGAAAGCATAACCAGAAATCAATCAATACAAAGTAGATTGAAAGGCATAAGAGCAAAGAGCGATTTATCAACGTAGATAAAGATGTACTAATCAACATTATTAACACAAGCAATTTAGAAAGATATACTATGTCATGTGCATATGTCATTCAAGCTCAATATCTAAACATTTTTCCTGTAAATTGGAGAAGTAACATGTAAAGCAAGAAAGCATAACCAGAAATCAATCGAAACAAAGTAGATTGAAAGGCATAAGAACAAAAAGCCATTTATCAAAGCATCCCTTCTTGAATGCAAGCATGTTCGTGAACTGTTGTGCCATAACAATTTAAACAGGAAATTAACAATTGAATCTAGATTGTGTAGAGCATATTCTATTCCCAAAATGTAAAGAAACACGCAAAGAAACAGTTTCAAAATGGACAGTCCTTTATAGAAGGGAAACATAAGTGTGGAGATGAACGAATGTATTACATAGAGTAAACAAGTCAAAAGTTCAATACTGAAATATTTGAAGTTCAATATTGAAAAATATAATCATGTGTTAAATGAAATAGCAGCCACCTGTAACTAAAAGAAACAACTATTACCTGAGCAGCTTCATTAGAAGCATTTTTTGTCCAAAGAGCAATTCTTTCCTGCCTTGCACGCACATTGACAACTGCTCCACAAATTTCATCACCATTGTCAAATTGCTCACCAACCATTGCCAGCAACTACGGGGGAAACAAAGTAATTGTACTAAACATCTGCCAGAAGAAAGTGTTGAGACTGATAGTGCTTGAGATGAAATGGAGATGAGGAAGAAGGAATAACAAATATACAGTATACAGCCACACAGTATCTGATTTTCCTCGTGCGCAGGTGATAGTCCATTTCCCTCCATTTGCACAGATTGGATCCTCCCATTTAGGCTCAATTGGGTATTTAAAACAGTAGAAATCTGCTCCCACAACTAATTTGCTCGGGCGATTAATATTATTGTAGAGGCTGAACCACAATTCACAATGGTTGAGATTACCATGTAAGTAGAAAAACCTTTTGTTTAAGCGCTAACAAGTACAAGAGAATTAAAAGAAGCAATCAAATGAAAAATGAACCATTTAAGAAATTATTCCATAATACTTGGATAGCAACTTGTACCACTATAATGATGAACTTTAGAGTCATGTACGCACAAACTGAGTTCAGTAACACTGCTTAACAAAAATCAAACGCAAATATCCATGTGCATAATTCCCTCAGAATTTCTACCAAATCAATGTTGGAAGTAATATGGATAAAGCTAAAATTCAGAAGAATGATGCCAGGAAAAATCGAATGTTTATACACCAAGTTCAAAAAAGGTTAAATGAATGTAAATATCAAAAATAAACCTGATCAAGGACCACATCAATGCTAGGATTAATAATAGTCTTCCAAAGATGAAAACATTTAAGAAAGAAAATAAATAGGAAATACTTACAGGTTAGAAAATTAATGCAAGCATAAGCAACTTTATGAAGATTTTTAACAATACAGTCACAAATAAGAACTGCTTGGACTTGGCAACAAAAACAGTATTCATGCTGATGGCATTGCTAGGACTAATAAATCATACAAGAATAATGGATAAGTTTCAATTTGATTAACTAGAAGAGCAGATAAAAGGTCTAATGCAGAAGGAATGAAACTAAGATATTAGATTTTTATGTTTTTAAATGAAGAAAGCTGAAACAAAAGGTTCTTTACTTTGCACTACTATCAAGGTGATGGATAGAGTGAATTCGTGCATCTACTTTGCATGTCATCTTAAAGTGAACAAGAATATCTGAATTCCCTAATATAAAAGTAGACATATTTTAATTTTCGGTTATAACTGAATATAGAAGACTGATGTCAGCCTCAATCCAGTTTGGGGGTAGAAATGGTGATGTGCACGATCAAAATAAATACTAGAGGTTTGCGCAAGATATCATGCTTACAATTTATACTTTGGCCAAAGACAAAAACACAATGGAAATTTAAAGAAGGAAAGAATTATGATGCCTGCTGAAGAGCTGGAAAGGATGTAGAAGTCTTCCGGGACCAATCTATCTGTCACCGGAATTCCATTACCCAAAATCGTGCATAAATATAATCTGAAATAGTTGATGCAGGACTCAAAATAATGATGAGTAGTACTCGAAACTCAAAATATTTTAATCCAAGCACTAACAACACAAAAATGAAGAATAGTGCGTAATAATGTAGAACACTATTCTACACAATTCTGTGTTATTGAAGTGAGGCCGTAACATAGTCAACATCTTTCCAAAAAATAACTATTTAATACAGCATCAATTAAAGTAAAACTATTAAAGTACAGAGAAAATTCCACAAGTTAATGAAGAGCTAAAGAAATTTTTTATATCCTGATAGTGCCCATGTAAGCATAAATTTTCTTTGCATTTGTAATTCGATGTTTTTTTTTTTAATTGTAATGATAACCCTCCAATCTAAATCCAATCCATTCAACATTTTTTAAATGAACTTCTTATTTTCCTTTTTTTAAATATAATTAAATAATCGGTATTGTTATCTTATTTTCTGAATGAGCTTGCGCTTGCATTAATTAATAATTAATTTAAAATTTGAATACATATTAGAACTTTGAATCTTTGTTTTAATGTTACAAAATTTGGTCAGTATAGAACAAATTCAGTTTTTTATGTTGTCGTCGGCATACCAATCAAGTTCACAAGCCCTACTGAGACATTATGTGATCAGAAAGGAACATAAGCTTTAAGATAACTACACTCTTTTGGATTTTCGGGAATAAAGCAGCATGCTTGATGGCAATAGGAGGCCCTTTGAAGAATTAATGGCTGAAAATGAAAGTGATTCTTGAGCATAATGTCCTAGAATAAGATTTGGAATTTGTGGTGGGAAGGTGAGTGGTTTAAAGTGGAGTTTGGTGGAAGGAATGCCAATTTGTCCAACTCTGGCTAATTTTAGCAAATTTTAATGATTAATTTAAGAAATGAATTTAAAATAATGTAAATGGTTGGATTTTATGATGAATAGCTACCTTTGAAGCTTAAATTCTGATCTAGAATAGAAAATAAGAATCTTGGGCCTTTAGAGGGGTATAATGGGACAAAAGACCAAGACTAGTCAAAATTGACGAAGTTTAGACTAATAAAAATATTTCTTATCAAAATGGGGGTTTCGATCAGGTGAAAACGACAGGTAAGGTTTAATTAAGGATGTATATTTATGATCTAATTTATTGGTGAAATTTAATGGGATTTAAAGCTTTATTGTGGCGTGGAGAATATGACTACATAACTTTATGCTTGGCAAGAAAGTAGTAGTGAATATGAAAATTCATACCACCACAAAGAAATATATTACTTTGTTTAGCCATACTATTTTATTGGGAGTCATTATGATATAAGTAATTATCTAAGCTGTGGTTAAAATATTTTGCTCCACTATCAAAAAGAAGGATTTGAATGTAAGTTAATGTTGACCTCATTTTTGAGGTCATTTCTTTTTCTAGAGTCTTAGGATCTAGCTCTACGAGTTCCTATTGACCATCTTAGAAAACTAGAATTGAGACTCACCCTTCTAGAAATTCCAACCACTTCCTATTTTTCTTTGATGTCTAGCATTTTTGGCACAAGAGTATCGTCTTATGAACGAGCGGTTATGGGTTATTTTGCGAAGATTCAAGGGAAAAGTTACTAATAGGACTTCAAGCCTTAGGAAAATATTCCTTTTTCGTCACATACACACATCAAATACAAGAAGTTCACGAAATTGCGCGAAATCAGACTTCAATTAAGCCTAAGGGACGGGTGAAAATGCGAACTTATCTGGATGACCTCCGACGACGAATTGGACCGCGCCAACGCGTCCGGGATACCAATTTTGGTAGGAAAGGACACCCATATTGCCATATTTTCGACACGAGAAAATTGACACCCAAATCGGTGAATTTGTCGAAACGACCTCTGACGGCAAAACAGACAGCGTCGGTGCGTCCAGAATGTCGATTTTGCCTAGGGAAGACACCCATTTTGTTACGACA